CACGAAAGATCAGACGATGATTTCCTTTGACGTGGCATCACTGTTCACAAATGTCCCACTCAGAGAAACTGTAGAATATATTTGTGAACAACAACTAGCTAATAATCAATCTTATAATGTGGTGACGTAATCTGATTATTGTTCATTTTATGTCCCAAACTTATTATTATTATTACTATTATTGTCTTTACACTTGATAACCCCTTTTTGAGGAATTTATTCAATATCCACCCCTGAATCTACTATATTTGACCTAATTATTTTACATACTACGCAATTTCCGATTTGTAATCACAATATTCTCTCTCTCTCTTTCTTACCCATGTTGACCATATTTATTCTGACAATTTATCTCACAACTTCATTTCGCTTATAAACTGATTCAAGTTAACACTTCATATTAGTCAGCCCCAACATTAACGATTTTATTTATGTAACAAACAATTCCTGATTCACATATTACAATTTCCAAATGATGTATTTTGCCTTAAATCTGGCCAATTTTATGGATTATTAATTTGGATATGAGATAATTGTAGAACCTGATGAGAAATTCATTGAAAAGAATATTCTTCGTTCATACAATTGTGTTTTAATATAATGGGGATTTTTCAGCGACTAAGAGTAATTCTTAGAACTCTAATTAGAAGCTGTAGCATGTAAGATGGAACCATGTCAAATATGACGCAGCTACTACTGATTGCATTGGAAAATTACTACCCATTATCCCAAATTGATTTACTTTACTTTACATGTTTGATAGTATGTTGTCATTGTTTTATTTTAACTTTTTTTCCAGTTATCAACAAATTGCTAAGATTTATTAGTAAAAAAAAATAAACTTATTTAGAAAAAATCACCCAAGTGGAAATATAAGCACTATGATTAAATCAGAAAGGGGGTTTTGTGGAGACTGTAGTAATTGAATAGTTGAATTCATGAGTCGATTAAAGCTGGATAACCATGGAAAACCTGGAAGCACTGGACGGCCGTTTTGTCCTAGTATGGGACTCCTTCTATGATTAAGTATGAAAATTATATTTCTCTAATGAATTAATTTTCACTATAAATGAATGACTATAGATTAGTTAATTTAATTACTTTGATTATAATTCGAAAAATTAATAGTTATAATAAATTTTTTTTGAAATTACAGAGAATTATGTTAACTATAGAAATAAAAGCAGGCAATAAGTATAATCAGTTTTTTTAACGAGTTTGTATAATTTGAAGGAAGTTCAAGTTTTATTATCAAGTGGAAAAACCAGGAAAAACTAAATGGCTATTTCATTCTAGTACAAAACTTTACATTGGTTCACCTCTACTATTCCAAACTAGGTCGAACTCGGGCTACTTTCCACTAACTAGATTTAAGGTGAATTTATTAACTTTCAAGTGAGGAGCTATGACCTATGGTAAAAACGAAATATGAAGCGAAACAATATCCCTTCGATAATATAGTATGAAGATCACACTATGTCACTGATCGAGTTGAAGAAGGGTGTTATGCTTAGGTCACCAGCTACCACAATGAAAGGTAATGCTGACAGAACACTTATAAGAGTTTTTTTTCATTACTACATGTTTCTATAATGTGAATTTGATTTATCATTGATTTTTGTTACTTTTCTTTGAAAGTGGTAGTAACGTTGTTTGCTATTACTTTACAATGGAATGGATTTATTATGTCAACTGATATTACATAGTCTACAGGAACAGATAGTTTGGAATATTGTTAATTATGTTATAATAAATCACGGTTCAGAACAAATGTAGTTTGTAGTAACTGGAAATAAATAAAAACATTCACATTTAAGTGTTGGATTAGCCGCAAACAAAATGAAAACTCATATACTTACTTACGCCTGTTACCCCTCGTGAAAGAATATAGGCCACTACTCACCAGCACTCACTATCCAACCCTGTCCTGGGAAATCCTTTCCAGTTGTTATCCACCCTTTTCATGTCTGCTTCCAATTCCCGACGTAATGTGTTCTTCAGCCTTCCTATTTATCGTTTCCCTTCACGATTCTATGTTGGGACTTGACTCGTGATGCAGTTTGATGATTTCCTCAATATATGTCCTATCTACCTTCATTGTCTTTTCCTAATTCACTCTTCAACTGGAAGCTGGTTTATCCTCTCCCACAGTAGGCTGTTTCTGATGGTATCCGGTTATCGGACATTAAGTACCTTGCGTAAACAATTGTTTATAAATACTTGTACCTTCTTGATCCAGGGTACGTATATCCACTCTGATGAATCCAATCACTCAAAATAATCAACGCGTAAAATGACTTACAATTAATATTTTCACAGTAAAAAGTAGCTACTTAAAAATTGTAAGTAGAATGCATATTTATATAGAAAATCCAGAAAGGAATTCCTTTTTGTAGCCCTGCTGTAATAAGATAAAGAGCCAGTTACATGAAATATTGTACACTATTTGAGCATTTAGTAGATTCAATATTCATAGTTGAGGTTTCTTCGTCTGTTCCGACTTTGAAAGCCATCATGAGTATAGCAGGTAGGTCACAACACTTAAGCTCAGTGGGTTGAGCTAACAAATTGACAAACCTTGCACAGAAATTTCAATGATGAGATTTTGAATTCTTTTTCAATGGGATTTCTATTGATAGATCATTAAGCTTTTATTGTACTTGTGATCCAACTTGTTTATAGAGAAAGGAGGAGAAACTAAATTCTCTAAACAATACTGACAAGGAAATTGTCAATATGACGAGAACTTTTCTAAAGATTGTATAAAATTACAAAATTAAGAATTCCAATCTTCTATATAAAAAAAAAGAATATTTAGAACTCCCAGCAACATTAATACTCATAAGTATAACTGACAGAAAATAATAAACAATATTTTTGTGTATGTACAGAATTCATTATTTTATGATGAATTTTTCTATTGAATGGTAAATATCGTGTGAGGTTGACAGTTGTTTTGTAATATTCATAACAATATTTCACATACATCACATCACTCGATGCACATGATTCGTTTTTTTACTTCGATTTTAATCCATATTCACTTAAAAAGTTTGCCGCATTAAGTTAACTATTAAAAAAACTTCATCATTGAACGATCTACATCGGAGAAAATGACAACACTGAAATCATTTTTAGTCGACATACACATTAAAGAACAATCGTCTATCAAAAGAACATAAATCAATCTTTTTTCAAAGTGGATTACATTTTTCTTCTACATATAAATTATATTTTAGTGTTATTTACTACACTTTGAAAGGGTGAGTTCACGTTAATCGTACGGAATTAACTTTTACGTTGACACAAGCTACTTTCATAGAATACTAACTAAATACGATCATAAATTCTATTACTAATTGGTTCTACTTATATCATTAACACTTAGGTTTCCAGATACTGAATAATTAACACCAATGAGTGAGTAAGTAATCTCTGCTTACGGAATTTATCTATATCTTGATCAACAATATGATAATTGAACAGTAAGTTTAGATGCTGATAAATTTAGCTAAGTGTGATAGTAAACGAACTCACCAACTATATCATTTGACTAAATTTTATAATATCATACCTGGCTCTCCATGCCTGAAATCAATAGTTTATTCGGTCACTCTATTACTGGAGAGAAATATTTAGAAAACGTATGTCTGAATTTGAGATACATAATACTTCGCGATCATGAAGTACGACAAAATGAATTGTTGCACAAAATAATAATTTTACAGACAGTTAAGCTTTTTATCTATCGAGAAAAGCAGTGACCAGAAAACTTACGTAACAACTCTTACTCAATAAGATTACGCATTGATGGGAACCAATCCTGAGAAAGATACTTTGAACAACTACTCATTATCACTTAAGGTGTATAGCACACTGCAATCTGTTGGAACCTTGACTTAACAGTATATTTTGTTTGTTTTACGTGTCTCTAGCACGATAAGTAAACAAAAAGTAAAAGGTTTGCGACACTGCGACAATTAGGTATTGAACCTTGCTATATGTTCTTGAATTAAAACACCAGATACGATCCTACCAATATGAATCCAGTCTATAATCTTCTAATCCGAGTACGCGTTTGCCTATAAACCAGGAACTTAAGCTTTAACTAATGGTACGCTTTGACCAACAATAATTATTCTTGAACAGTGACTGAGATAATCTTAACGCGGATGAGTTCAGGTTGCACCCCTTATCCTATCCGAGTATTCAGTCCGGAGTAGGATCACAGTGAGCTGGCAAATTTATTGTTATATTCTAAATATACAGATTACCAGATGTCATTACGTTGTAAAGAGACTATCGTTTGTCTACAGTCAAGATCGAAGTAATAAAGGAAAGGGTGAAATAATTAGTCAATAATAAGTTAGGAATAGTCAAATGCATATCAACAGTTTAGACATTAAGCGAAAGCTTATAAATAGGATAATATAGAAATACTGTTAAACAATTATTTAATAACTCTATGGTAAAATAGGAATAATAGTTTATAATATGACAGTCCTAGAAGTTCCAACCTATGAAGTATTAACTTCGTTTTATTGTAAGCTTCAATATTTATCATTTTCAATGTGGTTTTTTTTCAAAACTATCACAAGAGGATCTAGGTCACTCTCTACAAAACGGAAGAATTAGATTGATTAAGTGAAACTACATCTTACGGAGACATTATAACCAATATCTCAGTCAGCATATATAATAATTCTGAACTGCCTTGCTTAAAACCTCTGAAAATGATCTATCAGAACTTGTAGCTTTTTATGCCCCAAGTCTTGATATCTTTAACGTTATTGAGAGTTGACGACTGAATATCAATCGCTCATTTAGGCTGTTAGTAAAAATGGGTGATTGGAGAATTTCTGTAAGTCACCATAAATATTTATCACTGTCCTATGTAGAGGGAAATTCATTATAGTCAGTTAGTCAGCTACAACATATGACCAGACACATATATGCATCATTCCAAGTTCCCATACCTTATTAGCACAACAAATCCACTATAATGGTTTTGTAAGTTTAATTTGTTAGAGTACTTTTTTTATACGCAACACCTAGAGTGCAACGATACAGGAGGAATCTTAGGAACAATAAACAAATGCAATTTAGATTAAGTAAGCAATTGATGACTAGTGTTAATTAAATTGTCGTATTGATGTTACATAGCTATAATATTATAATCATAATGATAGATAATCTGTTCATCACTAAATCGAACAGTGTTAATTGAATTAATACCGCTAAAGACAAAATTTTTGAAAGAAAATATTTTGATTGAAAACTATCGACAAACAATATCATCTGACTAAAATGAAAAATTATTAGGATAACCATGAACATTTGCAAAAAAAAGATTTAAGATTACATTTTCAGAAGAAACAGAAACAAATACATAAAAAATATACAAGTTATTAAAATATGTTCAAGTACTAGAAACTAACACTTGAAGGATACAGTTATATATAGGAGACAGGAAGAATTAAAGCACGAGATAGTTGTTGAAATTATTGGAAGTAGTAAAAAGTATAAATTACCTTGAATTATATGGGTGATTTACATCACTATTGCGTCCTATTATATCACCAGTATACAGCATCTCCAGGAGGCTTTACATATCCGGATACAATTAAGATAAAATCAACGATACTCCATAAACCAAGACCACCGAAGCTAAACAATTTGCCTAATCCTTCTATCCACATGCCCAAATAAAAACGATCAACTCCCAAACCACCGAAAAATAAACTTAAGATAACAGTTAGTACATAACTTTTACCAGAAGACCAATCACAAGGCACCATACGCCTGAATACTCTTCGTCCTAGGCATAGTATATGAGGAAATGGTTCACATTTCGTTTCATAAAAACTCCGAGGTACATTAGGTTGACGACAATTAGTTCGACCGATACAAACAATCTCAGTATCACCTAACTGGTGGCAAAATCGACACACAATCGGTTTTTGAATTAGGTAATTTGTTTGATCATTCATCGGATGAGAAAAGTCTGATGAATTAGTTTGAGAAGTTTGGTTTTCTTGAGCTATACCACTTGAATCTTTGCAATAAACTCCTGGACGGGGGAAGCAAGTAACATTGACTACCGCGCCATAAACACATGAAGTATTGAAATTGCACATAAGACAATAACCTGGTAACTCACTACACTTGTACTTCATATATGGACATAAATGCTGCCATTTAGCTTGCGTGGTCTGATTTGTACTCGGCTCATTTTTAGGTGAAGATAAGTTGGAAGCTGGGAATAGTGATACAGATGGATGAGAAGCATTTACATAGACATTTTGAACGACGTCAGATAACGAATGTCCAAAAATATAGTGAACTAGAAAGAAACAACCCAATGATATGATTATTCGACTTGGTATTTTCGTTGTAAATAACTATAAGGCAAAAAAAATCAGACATTAAAACTTAAAAGGGAGAAAAATGTCACTTTCCAGAAATCTATGCAGTTAATTTTCGTTGGATTAACCAAAAGGATGGAGGTTAACAATTAACCCGACAACCCTTCATCAAAAATAACTATTAATGATTAATGTCATTAAAATATTCAAAGTTAGATCATATTATCCATATGTAAGATTCGAATAGGAATCGCTTTCAGTTGACTGTAGGGACCAAAATATTATCAAGTTATGGGATAACAAACAGTACGATTAAGGTATTCTAATTTTAAGTAACACTGAAACTATTGATAAGGTTGAGAAGTAACATAGTTGTTAAGTATAAAATCTAGTCGTTTCAGTTTAGTTATTCGAAAACCTTTACATAATTGGTTGGTTATTTGTACGAATTCGAACTAATAATCGCGCTCATACTCCAACGATATTCACAGGTTTATTAACATAACGAAAAAACAACTGAAGTAATATCAAACTTGTTTTTTTGACAGCTAGACAAACACTTGGGCAAAGCAGTAATGGATTGAATTAGAATAGGTATTATTTAGTGTTATAACTGTGAAAAATAATGCTGCTGATTAAGGGGTAGTGAATTATTGATCGGACCAAGGACGCACAAACACGTAGAACGACCTAGGGTTCTGATTGGTCTCGCTTCCCTGTCTAGCACAGTCAATTGAGTCCAGAACGCAAGTCACAGCCTCGGATATATGAATCCTTATATTTCAAACATACTTTGTTTATATACCAGTCAAGCAGTCCACAACGTACCATAAAATAGAAAATAACATTGTACAATAATGGCCAGTAGGAAAATGACAAGTTAAATAAATATTGACCAATAAGATGATACCATTTCATGTCCAAGGATAGCATTAGGCTTAACAGGATAATTTTTGGGATATTTTCCTGAATATCCCAACATTTAGAAATGTATTGGAACAGAATGGAATAAGTGAAATTATGTATGCTTTCCGAATTAATAAATCCAGGAAATTAATCCAATCAGACATTCAAACACATACAAGTAGTCATATGCAAATGAAAGGGTTTATTTTATTTGAACACATAAATATTGGTACAAGAGGGCACCAAATATATATGCGCCACACAAAACAATGAGAATGGGAAGAGAAAAAAGGTAAGGAGCGTAAAAGAAAAAAAAGAACAATAACGACCAGACTAGTGTAAGGTAGTGTAATAATAATGGGGGAACGGAAAGGTACAATCAGAAGAAATCTTCCAGTTAAGGAAGATACAACCACTTTTTATAAAGTAAAAGAAGGTTACAGCAGGATCGCCACTGGCTTCTATTCTGAGCTATATCTTACAACGTCTCTAGCCACTGTGTTGCACCATCTCTCGGACCCCAGCCAGGGAGTCGTAAAGGACCAACACAAACCAGCTCTTTGCAGCTTTCTTTCATGCCCCGACACCATGTCATACACTGAACACCTCTCCGCTTCTTACAAATAATGTACGACGTGGAATTCTCTGGGACGGCATTCGTAAAACATGTCCAAGCCACCGAAGTCGGTGTTTCGAGATGGTGACACCGATTGCATTATCGTCTTTGTGCCCAAACACACGATGCCGAACCTCTGCATTACTAACATGGTGTTGCCACTGGATGTCAGAAATCCTCCAGAGACAACGATGATCAAGCACAGAGAGTCGTCTAACATCCTCAACTCGGAGAGGCCAGGTTTCACAAGCATAGAGCAGAACTGCTCTCATCGACGCGTTGTAGATCCGACCTTTTACAGCCAGACTAACATCACGAAGACGTCAAAGATGGCCCGGATTGACATAAGCCTCTCTGGCTTCACTATACGCGCATTGATCTCATCACTCACGCCACCACCAACACTTATGCAGCTACAAAGATACACGAACTTCTCAACTACTTCTATCTGCTCACCATCCAGGGTGAGTACAGGAATAGGATCCTGCCAGTCTTGTAGGAGTACTTTGCACATCGAAGGTACAAACCACATACCGCACCTACGGACATTGATTGTCAACTGATTAAGCGCGAATTGAATGTCTTGGGGACAATATCGTCCGCATACTCAAGGTCGAGAAGTCTTTCTCCAGGCAACAAATCCACACCACCATTACTTACATTCATCAGAGCTGTTTCCAGAATGTCATCGATGGCAAAGTTGAAGAGGAATGGTGAGATTGGGCAACCCTGCCTAACCCCACTGCTCGAATGGAACAATGGAGAAAGGTGGTTGTATGCCCTCACTCCACCTGAGGTGTTTGTATATAGGGCCTTTAAGATGTTACCAAACTTCTCAGGCACACAATTCTTCAATACACAATCCCAGAGAACAGTCCTGTCCAACGAATCGAAGGCAGCCCTGATGTCAAGAAACACTACGATTGTTGGCCTTTGATAAGTATGACGTTTGTGGTCAAACTCACGGTTACCCGGAGTAGACCGACGGGTCTCGATGATTTGTAAGGAGCCTGAAGAAACCCAGTGCTTATAAGTGGGACATTTCGCGAACCCACAACTCACTTTACTCGACATTTTCATGGTGTCATGCAATTGCGACCAATGCTCATCTATACTTTTCGGTGGAATGGTAGCTGGCCTATAACCTAGCTCAGTTTGATACTTAGTTACAACAGAAGCTGCAACCAACTTGCTGACATCAATCCTTTGGTGGCGGTCACTTCGTTGGCTACTGAGAAGTAAGGTAAGATTGGCCCAGACCAGGGCATGATCAGAATCCAGATAGGTACTCCAAAAGGAGCGGCAGTCTTGTATACAACTACGCCATCGGTAGCTGATTGCGATGTGATCAATCTGAGTCCAGGCTTGAGATTCAGAGGGAGGACGCCAAGTAGCACATCAGCGACGACTGTGCCGAAAGTTAGTGCTAGCCAGAAACAGATTGTGGTCTGTGCACAGTTGCAGTAGACGGTCCCCGTTATCTGTCCTGCGACCAACAAGTCCCCATCGGTCACCCAAAAGATTCCTTTCTGTGCCTAGGCGCCCGACCTGAGCATTCAAGTCTTCGGCTAGTACTACAATATCTGTCGAACGCACTTTCTGGAGAAGAACAGATAACTGGTGGTAAAACTCGTCCTTGGTTGCACCTAAGTTGCAATCTGTCGGGGCATAGGCGTAGATGACGAAAAGACATCGTTTCTCACGCCGATTTCTTCTCACTTTGATGGAACTCTAATCTAACAGCACATAACCAACCGACTGTTAATAGGGATCCAATCAATTAGTGCTGCCTCAGCTCTAGCGCTTAGTGCGACACCAACGCCAGCAAGACCAGACGAAGATGCCACAGGGTCCCCGAATAAACGCAAGTAAAACAAGCTTTTTGAAGCGACAGATGGAGATCGAATTTGTAGTACTTCACCAGAGTCTTGAACACGGGTCTCGGATGGACAACAAACGTCGATATTAAGACTTTCTAAAGACATAGCCAGCCCTATCTGTTGTCCAACCTGCATAAATGTGCAAACCTTGAAGGCAGCCAGTTTGAATGGTGCACGCGGTTTCAGAAAAACTGCTTAAGTATTCCTATTTGGTGGTAGCATTCAATTTCCAACCAGGCAGTGACTCGAGAACATTTAGGTAGAACCGAGTTTCCACCATAGGCGAGCTGCTGTATAAGTCGAAAAATAAGGATACACAGAGCGGGAATAAAAGAGAGTGAATAAATGACATGGTAAACAACAACAATAATAATAATAATAATAATAATAATAATAATAATAATAATAATAATAATGTGAATTGTTTGACTGTTAATCGAAGCGTGAATAGAGTTTTCAGTAATTATCGTCATTTTCATTCTATGTGTGTGTGGGCTGTGATACTGCCTAGGTGCCCAGACCGAAGCAGGTGGTTTTCTTAGCGGGACACACCCCGAGCCTTTGACCTCAAGCTCTGATCCACAAGGCAATGGAGCATCGTGAGGAGATGCAGTCCCATGGTAGCCGGTAACTAACGATTGGTTCATACGCCATTTGTTACCGCAGGATACTGGAGCCCATATGCACCATTGGTTTGGGATCCGGTTAAAGCGCCGGACATTCGCTTTTCGTCCTCTCATTTTCGTAGACAACACCCCCGCCACGAGAAGGCAGTGAGTAGGACTTCCCTGGTAGAGGCTGTATACGCGTGGCCGTGTGAGAGTATTTCGAGAGGGAGGGCGAACCCACCCCGCTCTCGGCCATACCAGGGCATTTGAGGGCAGATGCAGATACAAGCTACTAATTATTCATACAAATAAATACAAAATAACCAATATAACTAACAATCGAAGCATCACAACCAGACCATCCAGCCCAGAGACCACAAAATGTCCAACATTGTTAAACACAATAAAGAACCCCCTAAAGGTTTATATGTATCTATTACATGTGTGAGGTAAGCAATTTGAAATGACACGTGATGTTAAGAACAATCTGCACAAATTCCTCGTTTCATCAATTGCAGTTCTCTTGAATTGCTCATGTCATCATATGATGTTCCAAAAGACCAGAATAGTGCACTAAACTCAAGTTTGTAGACGAATGGATGATTAAGTGACACCAATATTATACTATTTTGTAAATAGGCTAGATAGCTACAAACTACAACAATACTGTACCATGTTAGGCTAGCAAACACAAATCTGTGCATACATACGACAGACAACTGTATGCCAATTATGTAAAGATACATATCTCTCATAATTACTCAATTTATCAAGTGCTTATGTATTATTTTATTTTTATTTTTACTTTATCTACATCAAATACGACATACCATTTAGTCAAATACTCGTTCTTCAATAATATTTTCTTATGAATTAGAAGTGGTTATTGTAGAAAATTCACGAGTGTAAATGATAGATGAGTAGTCCGTAAATAGTAGTGATATCATTCCAAAAGAAGAAAATGGATAACCTGAAAAACAGAAAGTAATAACAGTAAGTTTTTTCAACAGAGTCAAGCCACTCACCATCGTGGAATTTCAGGCTTCGAAATAGGTATTAGCATATTACACTCCTTCTCTGTAGATGTTATATAATTAGTATACATGGGTGTCATCAAAAAGCTGATAACCTTATGACTCGATTTATCACATAAGAAACTTAAAAGCATGACAAAGACTGTCATCACGACTATACGTGAACTACTGTTGCAGTGTGCTGAAAAATTTAGAGTATGTATCTATTTGGAAAGCAACAGAATGTTGTTTATTTCTCCTGTATTTAAGTCTGACTACACTAAAAAATGTTCTACCTTGCCTTCTTATCTAAATTTCCTACAGTTAGCTACTTATTCCTTACCTCATCCTAAGTCATGTAGCAGTTCGGTTGAGTCTGTTATGAAGTAATTTCCTTGTAGAATATAAGTGGTGCTACGATGCAGGGCATTTAATTTACAAAATTTATTTACTTAAGCACATTGCTGATGACGTCAATCTACGTAATGTGTTGGACATATATTCTTCACTTCTTTTTGAGCCCTATATACGTCAGGTCAAAAGGATCATATATTGCTGATACGTTGCAGCCAAACAAGTTATTCAGTGGTACACTGAGAAATCAGTTATTAGTAGGTCGAAAGGCAGTAATCTCGCCATGAATGACAAAAATTCAGTTAACTATGACGCAAAAACAGGTAATAGCTTGTAGGAATACTAGGTTTACATCATTTAAGCCTGAAAATGTAATCATAAAATGCTTTTTTGAAATTTGTTTTAGCCAACACTTAAAAAGTTTGTAGTTGAAAACGCCTTTGTTAGTAGAGAGGTTCTAGCCGTAGCTATCAAGTGGCTAGTAGATCAAAAACTATGCATGTATCCGACCACTTCAGCGAACATGGTGATTAGAAACAACGTGGATCCGAACGACAGTTAGTCCACTGTAAAATGTGCAGCTATTCACTACTTTGGTTAGTAAGGAGGATTAATTGTTTCCTTGTAGATGATTTCAGATGTGCTTCAGACTTGGTCAAACCCTTCACCAATAAAATCGGATATTGTCACTCGCAGGATGAAAACACCGCACCAATGTACTCAGAAAAACCCAAACGGTAAATCAATTACAGTTTCTGATTTTCTACCATTGTATTTAAGCACCAGTCAAATTACTTATACGACTTTTTGGATTTCGGTGGAATGTAAACAAGAAACAGCCAGGTCGAGTATTCAAATTTAGGCTGTTCGAAACCTTAACTTTCTCAATTACCAAGTAGGTCTGTGATCTCTATAACTGTACGTGAATAAGTCCAATGGAAGTAGAGTTGTTGTTGTCAGCCGCTGTCTGAACACTCGATAACACTGCAAACTGTGACCAGTAAGTTTTACTTGGAACTTTCTGAAGTCTTGTAGATCATCAAAGATATATACAAACATGAAAAAACTGTCAGCCGAGATTGTGTTGTCCGTAAATATGAGGCAAATAGTGCTGTTGTTGAAAACACCAGCAACAAATTACCAGTCAAAACAATTTAGCGGGGAATTAGCCAGCTTACAGTTCCCTTTGTTAACTGAGTATGAACTGTAACCTTCAGGTGTGCTAATTCAGTAAGAAGCTACAAGGGATAAATTTGTAAGTAAACTGATTTAGTTTACAATCTGTGTACTATTTATAGGGCAATGATCACTATCCGAAAACGTCCCTCAAATCTTTACTATTACACCTGATCAAACCAGAATTAGCAATGAACTTCACATTGATAGGTACTGATACAAAACGGGACATTATAAAGTACAGATTCTATAACACTATATGATGTAGGTCTACATTCAAGTTTATGTTATTAAAAAGGTGCATTAACATCACAATTCCTATTTATCAAGGTCAGCGAAAAAGATCTTGCGAAGGTGAACGACGTGGCTACACAAGGTTTTTTTAAGAAAAGAGAGATAAAGTGGACAGGCGTTATCATTAAAAGGAAGATTAAGTGCAATTTTGTAATCGAACATTTTCTTTTCGTTTTTTGGATCCCATCATCTGCCCTTTGCAATATAACTGTAAGTTTCAGGGCATCGAATAACAAATGTATGAAAAGCATTTTGCAAAAACATTGATAACTGTCAACTGCTGTTCTGTTTCAAAATTCAAGTGATGAAAATTCCGTTTGTCACTGAAAACCCTGTTACTGTGCACGTAACCCCTAGTGTAAAAACCTTTATGTTAAATGAAAACTCCTTAAGCTCATAATAAACTCACTTTGGCCGAGTACACTGAAACTAACTGGATGTCGAAAATAAACGTTAATGTATATGAGTACCTCGTATGGATTAGGCTTTCGTATATGCACGTAAAACTCTCACTAACTTTTAAAATTACCATCGAAGACAATTCTTTTGTCATTTTTAATGTAGGTGTTTCACTATTTTTTCTACGTCAATGTTCCTGACAACTGTATATGTGAAAAATGTTAACAAATCGTTCCCATTTAAACCACTATGTTGATTATCGTCGAGCACGCATATGATTTGTCTGATCTACGGAATTAAAGGCGAACCTCCGAACCATGTAGTATACTAGAGCACTAAGTTCAGCTAAAATTTAACTATTTCACTTGTAAGATTTGACAGTTTAGAGTAAATTTTTGGGGGAAGTAGACGAATTGAGGGTAATTTAGATCAAAAATACAAATCATGGTTAATTTCGGGAAAGAATGGACAGATTGAGTTGGCTTCGGGGGAGGCAAAATCGTTAATTTCGAAAGTTCTCTCATTGGGGAAAATACCCCAAGCAACACAAAAAGGGGAAATAAAGGCGAAGAAAGGGGAAATAAAGGGGTAAATGCTTTGGTAGCGAAATGGGAAATAAAGGGGAAAATGCATCAGAATGTGTGTACACACTATTTATCCCGGACTGGTGAAAAGTGCGACATTTTGATGACACGTCACTTATATTCACACTGACTATACTTACACACTTTCACCGAAATTCGAACAAAGTTCGCCTTTACTTCCCTCATTTTGTTTGCCTAGGTATCAAAAAAATGCAAATTCTGCGAAATTACCTTGCGCGAGTAACCTTGAGACCAAACTCCCTCCTGGATGAAATTCACAAATCAGTTGTTTTTAGTAAAGACAGAGGCCATACGGCCAACGTTTTTCCTTTACTATTATGCTTTTGTGAGTGTCCAATCTTCCTTCGAATGAGCTAGTGGAAAGTGAAGACACCACTGCTTCGGATAACAGGTTCGATGAGAAAACCTGTATGCCACGGATATTTTATTGATTCTTGCCTTTTACACTTGCCTACCATGTCCTCTTAGTTGTCTAAATCTGGTAGAAAAAAAACGAAAGGATTCATGAGGTCCAAATCATTTCCAAGTATTCTATACATCAGAATCAGATCACCTCTTAATCTGCAATAGGACAGAGTAAAGAGGTCTAGCTTTTTAAACCGCTCTTGGTATGGTAAACCCTAGAGCTCTGGAATTGCACGGGTAGCTGCCCTCTGTCCTTTTTTTCAGGATATCCTAGTCTCCTTTTGAACAGGGGCTTGCAGCCTGAACGCAGTTCACAAGCCTAGTTCTCACTAAAGTTGTTTATACTGTGTTGAACATGGTAGTATTTAACTTGGCGAATGTTCGTCTTACAGCCCAAAGGGTTTTAAACCCTTTAGCTGTGACTACCAGGTGATGGGCCGTGATCTTAAGATCATGACCCACTGTCACTCCAAAATCCTTGTGAGACCAGACCACGGGTACAAGCGTTCCCCCTATGCTGTACCCGTTCACCTTTGTTTCCCAAAAGTGCCTGTAGACACACTTTGCCGTGGTGATGGGCACCAGCCACTCCGTAGACCAGTTGGTCACAATATTTAAGTCTGCTTGAAGCGCGCATGCATTTGCGTCTCCCGTTATTTGATGTCAGATTTTTATATAGTCAGCGTATAGCAACATTGGGGACTACTATATTTGGGAGATCACTTGCATACATTATAGAAAATTGTAGGTCACCAACGTAGATGATCTATGTCAAGTGATCGGAGACCTACTCGGGATAGACGGGAATAGCGTGACGGACCAGCTAACGTCGAAGTCACACCTCGTGGTCGGGTGAATTTATCCGCAACGCAACCATGTAAACTTAATGTATTGCCCAGGGTCATCTGTGCGTTCAAGCAACCACAGATTTTGTCATTTCATAATATATTTTTAATTAAATAACTAGATTGTGTTCTTAATTCTGCTCTGTTTTTAATTTTTATTCGCCACGTCCGACTGCGTTACACTATGCGTTCATTGCACGCTGGAATGATATCTCAAGTCATAGTTAGTTTAATCACACAGGTTATTGTTTCCAGATAGACCGCCAGTGCATGATGTTACTGAAGAAATCTTTGTTGTACTTTAGACTATGTTTTTATAAACAACTGACTGTTGTCTTCAGTCTCAAAGCAATATATATTTATCCTTTGTCTTCTCTTAGGTAAGTTCGACTGGCCTATATTTCGTGTTTTAGTTTTATCGGCTGCATTATGTTCATTTTACTCCGTTTAGCAACATATCTGTGCAAATGGAACAATAATTATGACACTTGCTTAGACTAGTATTCTTGGTTGCCGTATAATTTAGATTATTCCATAGAATTATAGTATATTTAAGTGTAGTGCTTAAAGCCTGTAACGAAACGGACCAGTTTAGTAAGTAGAACTGCCTGTTTTTAATGAGTATAGTGATTGAAATCAGTCTGATTAAAAATAGGAAAAAAGTGCCTTTGGTACTGTTCTTGTCATATATTATAAGATAGCTTTAAGTACGTTTGGTGTGAAGATGGCACAGGTATTCAGTGTTTGACAACGCTTTTACCAGTAACACCTAATATAACTCGTACCCACCAAGAGAAATCAAAAGACAGAATCGAGGAGATCAGAAGTTGTATTTGACGATTGCCAATATATCGGAATTGTCTGATCTAGTCTGGCTAGCGATTGCAGTAGATGTTGAGCACGGCGTTCCCACACGTACGGATGCATGACCGAGCACCTTCAGCTTGGTGAGTCCACTAAAACTAATCTGGTCAGCATCCAATGTTGAAAACTTACAGAGCTATTTATTTTGGGGATTTATTTACCGCTACAGGTGTTTATTTGTAGACAGTACGTCTAACACTGTTCATGTTTCAAGACCACTATCATTAAACAATTTCCCCAGCAATAACGTCGGTAGCAGGATAGCTAAGCGTCTGAGCTTTTAGTCGCCCCCAAAACAGCAGTATACAGTCTTAGAAGATGAGTGTTCTGTGTCTCAATTAAATGTAGCTGGCTGTGGATAAATGTTAAGAATTTTTTGACAACTGGAACTTTTAGTTTATCAGACGATAACTCTGCTTGTATGTCTTGCTACTGAACTAGATGCAGATGCATGAGAATACTTAAATGGGAGCAAAATAGTAGTAGCTGGCGTGATCTGATATTCATGAAGTCGAGGTAAGTCACAGCTGCATAAATTATTTCCTTAGAAACATCTAATGTGCTTATTTACCTTTTCAACATTCTTCACTAAATCCATTACTATCTTTTATTTAGAATGTAAAAGGAGTGAGCCGTCACAGATGTTACAGTGTTTCACCTTTAAAACTATGGCCCTATGAAACTTGATGGGAGATCCACCTAACAGCAGATTACTAAAAGCATGCCGGACATCCACTTCCAGTGTTTTGGAGTTACTTCTTATACCCTTTCGTTTGAAAAAAGAAACAACAAATACAGCAGATTAACATTACCAACGCCACAATGTAGTTGGTAACATGGTGTAAATCTTTGTTTCATATTCCATTGTTAATTAAAGTTCCTGAGTAAATTTGTAAACCTGATGCTACTTCGTTTTATCTAGTTAACCGTTACAAGAAACTTGTGAAACGCAAGCCTCTGAGCACCTAGTTGGTGTGTAGCAAATTTAAGTCACAACAGTTGATGGATGGATACGTTACACATCCCAACCGTCCCTGTCTCTAATACCATATGATAAGCAAGCAGTGGGTAACCCCCAATTCTGGGCCTTCTTATAACCTATTTCAGCCGCCATAACGTGTTGCACTAGTACGTTGACAGGTACGAGTTTAAGCCATAGCTGTTTACTGGGATGCCGTCAGATTTACAATCAATACCTTAGGTACACTTACGGGTCACCAGTAACGTGAGGTTACGCGCCTGCCAAAACACAACTACAGGCCTATTCAATGTTTTCATCCCCTTATACCAAACATAGCAAGAAACTCTGTATTTAGTGAATATAAGACTTTTATTTAATAAGGTATTAACAAAAACTGGCAACGCAGCAGGCGCACATGACGCGATTTGTGTTCATTGAGTATCCGAAATAGAGGGTACGAGTATTAGCTTAATAGATGCAATTATAAATACTTAGATTTTGATTTCCAAAGAACCAGTGGACTTACTATGTTCGGAATCTGTAGGCAGACGCCTCATGCCATTCCATTCATCAACTTGATCTATCAATTGCCTTACTGTGTGCTGCACCGTCGTCTGTCAGAAAAGTGTACTGAGTGTGTGGATTTTACTGCGTAGAATGCGATACAGCCTGTTCGTTTCAGTATAATCTGGAGACGAAATAGCTGGTACATTTACATCTACATCTCCACAGGCTGTCCAAGTCCATCTGCAACACTGAGTCAAAACTAAATCAACTACTTCATGATACAAAGATGAACATAACATACCCGTGAACTCCGTCATTTGTAGATGAGTAAAAACCATGTGCTTACATGGAATTCGACATGTTTTAAATAAACAGCAAGTGCAAGTGCCGTTGCTTATATGCACTACCGGACACAGAGGGATGTCTACGAAGAACACAAAGGGTGACTGGTTATTCTTGGTGTACACCAGTCCCCTTTTTTATAATCTTTAAGGACTATAGAGCCAGCATAGGTGGTTAGCTTGCTTAGTAGAGGCATTAAGCAATCTTCAGCTTCGTATCAACGTTTGTGACTACAGTGTAAGCTGGACTGAAGTGACCTACGTTTGCTTAATTGCCTCTGCCATGTAAATGTCTTCCACATACATTTAGTCAACGCGTCTCCGTCAGACAACTTTCTCTTCAGTCGTCTGTGTGCACTTTCAACCCGGTTCACATAATACCGTAAACGAAACAAGGCCTTGCAACCACTAAACTTTGATCTATGAAAATTGAAAACAATAATAATAATCATTTATCCTTTTTCTCTCTCACCATGGCCCTCCGGCTTCTTTTTATGGCCAAAAGAACATACATACACTACATGCTCGTAGCGAATTTCCGGCTTTTCTTTCTCCAGCCTGTTTTCACGTACTACAATAGGAGTCCAAGTTATCTATCTACTGCATAGATTGAGGCAAGGGCCTTACTATTCTCTCTAAAGTAATTAGGGAATTTAAATCAGCTGTATACTTCGTCTGTTCCAAGACCATGGAACAATTTTCCATTCTTATAGCTAGGTTTGACAGTTGCTCCGGATCACTGTAATCAACATTTGCAGTTTTGACTAAGTCCTCTAAAGTTTCTCGAGCAATTACATGCGTCTGTCCAAACAACCGTTTTAGAATTTCCTTGGCTTTCTTGTAGCCAGCAGAGGCTTCCAACATAACACGCCCCTCAGTGGCTGTTTTTGCTTCACTACTACAATAATGTATCAAATAAAGCAGGCGTTGACTATCATCCGTGAGCCTTGATTCTACATAGGTCTCAAACTCCCTTGAAAACTTCCAGTAACCTCTTGGTTGGCCGTCAAAATAACTTAATTTAACCATTGGTAACTCTAGACTTACAAAAGGCACCATAGGCATCATGTTTTTCGCTTGCTTCACGTCTAAACTAAGATTTTCTATGCTATCTGTCATTATATCACAACTAGATTCACTATAATGACAATTGTCCCTACCGGAATATGAACCATGACACACAGAAGCATCAAAAGGCACTCGCCTTGTTTGAGGGGATCCATTCTTTTGTTCATCTCCCTTAACATTCACGAGCCTTGGGCTTAATTTCCTTCGACGATTATTTGGTATCACAAGGGAACGACCAAATATTCCCAGAAAGGATAATTGGAATCAACTTAACGAAAGCCAAACGACGTCGACCAATTAATATTTGTTTAGAACTGTAAGAT